ACACTCAATGAACAACCGACTACATTTATATTGCACTGAGGCTTAAAGTGATTTACTGACTTGCCTAAGATTATACAAGTAGGAGGTGGCCAAAGCAGGGTTTGAACCCAAGTATGCTTGATTCCCCAAACCATGCTTTTTAAAAAAAACCAAAGGTGTAACTTTGATAAAAGACATGAAGTTAATGAATATATGAAAGCTGGTGAATAGCTGCAATGTGGCCTTAGGCCAGATCCTGTTGAACATGTGTTAGGATAGATAAGTGAAGGTTCTTCTCTGCTGCTACCTGGTTCTCAATTGGTTATTACCTGATGTGCTTTCCACATTAAAATTCTATTATTTTGGCCTGTAAATTACCCACCCAGGCTTGGCTAAACAATGAAACCCTGAAATTTGACATGTCATTTTTTCAGAGTGCCTCCATGGTAGGTGGTCAGAATGAAAATGGAATTAAAAGTTTCGTGAAGCTATAGCACTACTTTTTCATTATGTTCCTCCCTGACTTTCTGCTTTAGGTGTCTACTTTGGTGAGATATCCTGGGAGAGATGAAGGTGAAAAGAAGCTGAAGTTAGGATTGGGGAAGAGATGAAGCAGTCGATAAAATTCAAATTCTTACAACCCAAAATGCAACTATTCTTTCTCCAACTTGGTTTCTAAGAAGTGAAAGAAAGCTCTGTGAATGAACAGAATGTCTTAGGGTAGCTATCAATAAAAAAATTGATGGTGGTTAACTCCCATTTCTTAGAATTTCATCATTCTTTGAAAGTATTTATCATACTCAATCTTTTTAAAAAAATCCTTAATGACATACTACAGTGTAGAAGTTGGCAAACTTTTTCCGTAGAAGTCCTGGTAGTACCTTGTGTTGCCTTTGTTGGCCATAGAGTTTCTGTCACAACTACTCACCTCTGCTGTTGTAGTGAAAGACTAAGCCATAAACAACACATGAATGAATATCTATGTTCCAATAAGACTTTTTAAAATAAATTAGGCAGCAAGACAGATTTGACATAAGGCTCATAATTAGCTGATCTGTGGTATAGTGAAAGGAGTTCAACTAGAGTTTGATTATGGCTCTGCCATTCTAGTTGGGTATTTTCGAGAAAGCTATTTAATTTTGATTTGATGTAGTTTTCTTATATGTAAAATGGAGATAATAAAACATACTTCACAAGACTTTTAGGAAGACTAAGCTATGTAGCTAAATAGAGCAAAATATCTGGCACCTAATAGATGTTTAATAAATGGTGACTATAATGATTATTATCATTACTGTATTATTTTATACATTTCTCTTAGGTTTTTTAGGTTGTTTATTGTCTAATGCATTTAGAGAAAATAAGTGCTGTTGAAGGCAGCTGGAACTGTTTTGCTATCTTATCATTGAAGGTCTAGTTCTTGTTGGTGCTTATTTCATAATTATGAAACTAATTCTTTTGAAAAGAACTTGAAGCAGAGCAACAAGAACTAAGAGAGAAGTAATACCATCCTCTCTCAGTTCTTATTGCTCTACTTCAAGTTCTTTTGAAAAGAATTACATAGATATGGGTGCATGTGTTTGCTTTATTTCTTTATTTTCCTCGTAGGGTAATTGTGAATATGTTGATTGGTGTCAAATATGGGTCTCACCTATCCCCATGACAATAAGCTTCTATTGACTTGAATTCAAACTATCCCTGGTGGCCCTGTAAGTGGGAAAGTCTGGGTGTATCTAGCTTGGTCTGTGGTGCCAGGAGGGGGTGGATGCACCTGTTCTACTTGTGGAACGTTGGCACCAATCTAGTGGTTGCTTCTCCAAGTATTTGCCTGTGTCTGCTTTGTGAAAGGTTACTGGTTGATTTGAGCTACTGGGCTGTTTATGCCACATCCTGTGCATGCCACACTGGCTTTCTTTCTGTGTTGTTTCTAGAGACAAGTTTGGCTTATAGAAGTCAGACTCTGTGGCTTATCATGATAGATTTTTCTAGGAGAATAGGCCATGATCACATCTGAGGATCTTGAGTCTTTGAAGACATGCACTGAATTAAAGATAATTTTTTGATTAAAGGAAAAAATTACATCAATCACAGTGAAGGAGAAGCCACAATATAGGGCCTGGAGTGTTGTCTTAGCCACAGATGTAAGGTCTACAGTTAACAGACAACTTTCAGTTTCCGCTATTGGAAGGGATGGTCAGTCTTTTCCTCTTCTCTTTTCTTGACCTCCATTTTTCACCTTTATTTTTCTCTCATTTCTTATGAAGAATAAAGACAAATGATAGCAGATCTACCTTAGGCTGTTATGGGGCAGGGAATCCATTTAATAACAAAAGCTAGGTCAAAAGTCTCACTTTTCTCCTTTTGAATTGAAATAATATTGTGCATGGGTTAATTAGATAGAATGCTGTAAACATGAAGATAATGCTTGCAAAGTAGCTACAGAGAAAGAAAAATCCTGAAACAACCAGTAATGTTTAGGACCAATAGTATAAGTCTTCACACACTGCACATTTGGATAATACTGTAAGACAATTTTTTGATAGGCTAAATAGCAAATCTAAGTCCCCCCAAATTATAAAAAAATTGTCATTATAATTCTAGAGGTATAACATAACAATGTGTAAGTTGCATCAAGTAACAAAGTTAGTTTATAACCTAAATTATTTCCTCCTGTTTTTTTTTTACTTCTATGCATATTTTCTTACTTCCATGCTAGAGTTACCTCATTCTTTTAAAATTATGAGATATTCTATAATTTATTTATATTCCTCTATTAATATATTTTTAACTTATTAGTTTACTTAAAAAGGTTTATATTTGCTTATGTAATGGTAGAGTTAGGAGTCACATGTCTATTTAACAGAGTCAGGAGTCACATGTCCATTTAACAGAGTTATGGGTCACATGTCCAGAGTTAGGAGTCACATGTCCAGGAGTCACATGTCCATTTAACAGAGTTAGGAGTCACATGTTCATTTAACAGAGTTAGGAGTCACATGTTCATTTAACAGAATTAGGAGTCACATGTCCATTTAACAGAGTTAGGCGTCACATGTCCATTTAACAGATAGTGTATTCTTCTGCAACTTCTCTGCCTTCATGCAAACCTTTGAGAATGATCTCTTGAAACAAGGCTAAAATGCCTTTGAAGAGGTATTATAGATGTTCATATCTACTTTGTGTCTATTTCCATGAAATAGAGACAAAGTAGACAGCTGCATTAGAGGCCCAGCTCTATAGTGTAACTCAAAATCCACCAAAACTAATAACCATGATTAGATTCTGGTCAAACAAGTTGCCATTAATCCAGATGTAGGATGGGATTGAAGGGTGGCTCTTCCACACCCTGATATCAGTGTACCAATTTGTGCATTCTGTCTCCCCTTCTTCCTTTATCACCCTCATATAATTATTTGTGTATGTATCTGGCTTCCTCATTGCTCTGAGGACAAGGATCATGCATACCTTATTAATATTTGTATTATTCAAGGCTTCTACTATGGGTTCTACTATGGGGCCTGGCCTAAAGTGGTTGCTGAAGAAGTGTGTGTTAGAGGAATCATACATAAGCTAGAAATTCTCATTAGGATTTCTGTATCTGAACAACTTTCATCTTCTCTGGTGGGATGAAGAAGAAAAATGGGGTTTAAAGTACATACTGTTGAGTATTAATGTAGAATTTAATAGCTTCTATGCAAGTGCAGAGTTCTCTGTAGTTTCCCAGTGTTAATCTCACTTCTATCTGTAGCCATGTCTCAATGCTGGGTGACTCTCTTCTGGCATGTTTCGGCAAGACTCTACCTCATTTGTGTAATGTACATTGGCTTCTAGTTTCCACAGGAATTGTTTATATGCATTTAATTTTAGCTCTTGGGCTATAACATGTCATTGTTCTTTTTACTTATCTCCTCTTACTTTTGGAAAGAGGACAGGCATCTTCAATACTTGCTGTTCCTGTTTGGTATGCTCTTAGATTAATTTTAGCTTTGCTCTTTAGCTTTCATGATACCTCAGAACATTTTTCAGTCATATTTCCTGTATAAGAAAATACAGACTATGTCACTTTGTATTTCCACAAAGGGAAGTACAGATTGGGGGGCATAATTTAATTCTTGTAGGGAACTCATGTTTTGGTGTGAACGGAAATTAAAGGAAGGTATTTGGATTATTTATCTCATTTGATTGTTCTATATTCAATTTAGAGGATAACACATTAAGCTCTTATTCAGTTTTATTTATTACAGTCATAGTGAATCTGGAAAAAATATATCTGAGGCTTACTTTTCATATTTAGGGGAAAATGAATACCCTAGAAAATAATAATAAACATTAGATAAAACAATGTTTTCCTAAGAGTAGGCAATGAAAAACTGAAGATACTCAAAGCAGTCTTGCACAAGTGCTTTGAAAAGTCTCTTGCACAATTCTATTTCTTTATAGTACTTACACAATCATATTTCATAATGGCTTTCTATAAACAATGTTCTTGACAAGGAGCTTAAAAATGCAAAACTAAAGGAAGCACTTTTGGGAGAAAAAACTTTTATATTTTCTCATTTGTACACTACAACAGACAGAAAACTATGGAATTTTTCAGTGCAATTTACATATGTCAGTTCGAGAGGAGACAGGAAATGTGAAACACTGTAGGAGGTATGAGTTTGCCACCTAGAGGAGAGAGCTGAAATTAAACTGTTCTCCAATTTCTTTAGTATAATTCACTAATTTATTTATTTACTCATCTAATTATTCAAAAATAATTATCTGCCAGGCTTAACTATTTTGCCAGTGCATATTAGATAAATCTGTTCAAGATTTATGAGCTCAAAGAAACCACAAACTGTATCTTACTTTAATTGCTCAGCTGCCTCTTTAAAAAATCTTTTAAGAGAGTATAACACAAATATCTGAACAATTCTAAATATCCACACTTAGGATGGATATTACTTTTAGCTCTTGTGCTATAATAAAACTTTATTCTTTTGTACTAATGCTGTATTTTTTCTTTTTTAATGTTTAAGAAACAAGTTAGATATGGACAAGATGTAATTTCTTCTGTCAAGGAACTCATGGGATAACAGGTTAGTGATACAGACCAACAATGCTGATACATTTTTAATGACAGAGATTATGCCTAGAGAAAAAATCCATCATTTGGTAAAGACAAAGTGTGCATATGTATTCCTTTGTTTCAATTACTTTAAAGTTAAAAAACAATTATTTTTCTCCTTTTGTACTACAAGCAATATCTGGTATAGTGTATGCATAGTAAGTTTTCAAGAAATAGTAATTTCCTTGTTGACTTGATTATTTTGGAGTGGAACTTAGTCTAGAAGAGATCCTAATATTCATTTATGTGAGAACATTTTCAGTTAGGACATGGAAATTTTTTCCTTCTCAATATTTATTTTTAGTGGGTTTAGAATTTTAGAAAATGGGTTTAGGGATTTAGAAATTTATTTACTAAATAATTCTAAGGAAGAGTACCTTAAAAATATTTAAAATGACAAAAACCGAAAACCACATCTAATTTGTTAAGGCCAAGAATCATTAAAAAGGGATCCAAGGCTTTAGACTTTGCTGCTCAGTGGAACTAGAATCATGAATATCTCACTCAGAGGAAGCCATCTCATCTTAGTGCTTTAATTTCCTGTGAGTTTCCCATGTTCTCCCCCTGCAAAGACCACCTCAAATCTCTCAGTAGTCCTGTCTTTATGAAACTGGTATCATTTTTCTTTTAGCTTTTGTCCTTCACCTTCCTGTGGCAATAAAAGTCAATTCTCTACATATAAATAGTCACAATTTTAGCTGTATCTTAATTGTGCAACATCTGTTGACTCTGTGTTTTAACATCTGTGTGGATAGCAGTGTTGTAATATTTTGATTGTAAGCTTCTAAGAGGTGGAGGCCAGAATTATTTTCTCCATTTTTAGAATGAGAAAATACAGATCACCACAATCAAAGTAGAATGGCAGCTTATAGTAGATATTTGGATAATTTATATAGTCTCTTAAAAAAACAGATTATAGTAAGAAGTGGCTGAGCAATTAGCTATGGCACACTGCATGGTTTTTCTGACCTCTTAGCTCCCAAATAAACTTTGCCAAATCTTCAGGCCTTCAACATTTTTTCACTCTATTTGTTATGGGCTGAATTGTGTTTCTCCCCAAATTCCAGTATTGAAGTCCTAACTCCTAGTGCTTCAGAGTGTGACCTTATTTGGAAACAGGGTCATTGCAGATATAATTAGTTAGGATGAGATCTTACTAACATAGGAGAAGCTCCTAATCATGGTGTCCTTATAAAAAGGAGAATTTTGGCCATGAAGACATGCACTGGGAGAATGCTGTCTGAAGACTGGAGTTATGCTGCTGCAAGTCACAAAATTAACAGAAGCTAGGGAAGAGACCTTGAATAAATTCTTCCCTGTAGCCTTGAGGGAGAGGATGGGCCTGCCAACTCTTAATCATAGATGTCTAGCTTCCAGAGCTGTGAGACAGTTTCTCTTTTAGGCCACTCAGTTTGTAGCATTTTGTACAGCAGTCCTAGAAGACCAACCCACCATTCTAACTGTTGATCAAGCAAGATTCTGTGATCATGTATTATCTTGTTTATTCCTTATCAGCATTCTTTGGTGTTATTAGTGCCATCTCTATACAAATTAGGAAATGGAGCCTCACAGAAATTAAATGACAAGTTCAGGGTGTCATGGCTATTTCATTATAGTGCCAGTGTTTGAATACAAGTCAGTTTGACTCCAAAGCATCATCACTGTACTCAATTCTAGTTCTATCCAGATGTTCACAAACAACCAGACTGTAGTGGAGATGTGGGTGGTAGATTGAGAAGGAGATCATGACCAACATTAGACTGTCAATGAAGCAGGCTGAGAGAAGTTTTATGAAGCCAAGTAACTGTGCAGGTTACACTAGAGATGGTCAGATTGTTCATATATATGGATTTCCTGTCTTCTGAGGAATGTACTCTTTGATATTCCTGAGTTAGGCCAGTTTAGGCAAGAGTAAATAGAAGGTAAACAGAAGGCTGGAGACTGTGTGTGTGCATGAATGCCTCCTTTGCAGCTAGATGTCTAACATCATGAACGGCCACATTCGCATGAATACAGAGATACACAGTTTACATATTAATGCAACATAAAACTCTTATGCAGTCTGATTTCATCTTATTGACATTTCTGTCAGACAGAGTCAGTATTAGCATCTTAATTATATAAATGAGGAAACTGAAATTTCAGGAGGTTCTCTGACTTCCCAGGCCACATAGTAAGCTTTGGTGCCAGAATGTATCTCTAGGCTTTCTCATTTCAAGATAGTACTTTCTCAGTTCTTTATACTATTCTCACTGCCTGTGGAATCAGATTTGGTTTCTCTGACTTTTCTTAGTCACTTCTGTGGTTTCATTACCACTCCCTCTCTCTCACTAAACAACTGCCTGCAAAAGTAAAAAATTCCTTGAAAACGGAAAACAAATGTACCAGAAATGTTGATGGTATAAGAGATAAAACTAGGATAAAGAGAAGGTGTGTTGCAAAGTGGTGTCCTTTAATGCAGTAGAGAAGTATTTGGGAGAAAAAGAAAATGGAGAAAAAATAGACAATCTGAAGCGGTGAGAAGAGCAAATGCTACAGATGTACCTGAACCTCTTTAGTAGGTGTAATCCTGAAGAGTTGGGTATAACAGCAATGATCAAAAATGAAATGCACTGTGGAAATTGTCTAGCTGTTGAGATCCTACTGTGAGCTATTTTTTAAAGTGAAAACTCCAATCAACTCTAGCTTATTTACAGAGAGGACTTTGCCCCACTGTACCCAGAAAGTTTCCTGACAATATTACACATGCATAGTAACCCTGAGACAATTTTTGTTTACCAGGAAATCATATAAAAGGGAACATTAAACTTTGTCTAGTTCTACTGCATAAACATGTGATAATGTGCATGATGACCTTCTATTGTAAATGGAAGAGTTAAGCTCTCTTAATCTACTGCTGAAGGGTGAAAACACTTTCTCAGGGCTCTGAACTTCAGAAAGTTGAAATCTTTCCGAAAAAACACTACAGACTGTATCTTCTTTACATTTGAAGATACTTTACATAAGAAACTAAAGCAGTTTGATGTATGTTTTCACCTACTTGAGAAGGAAACTCACAGACTCCAAAGCAACTGTTGTCTGTTTTGAGAAAAAAAGTTCAGAAATCACCAGAAGCAATAGGGAGTGGCTTTGATTCCTGTTCTCTTATTTATGGGTAGCTAAAGTTCATATTTCTCAATATACTATAATCTCAGTATAATTGGCCAAATTCCATGGTGAATAATTAGATCTAGCTTACCAGGGAAGATTTGGATGGTGAGAGCAGTCACACTGTTCTGGGAATATGTTAGCCAAGTTTAGTATGTTTTACATGAGTTGACAGACTTACCCCTCTTGCTGAAGGACTAGCCCAGCAGGTTCTACGGGTGAGATCACTGCTAACTCATTCATTGCTGGGCCTGGTAGGCACAAGAAGCCAAGAAATAAATAAGATGAATTTGGGCTTCAGAAGTTCTCTTTCCTATTTTCTTTCCCAAACCCTTTCTTCCAGATGTCTAGGGGCTGAAACATTTATTCATACATTTATTAACTAACTCAACAAATACTTACTGACCATGCTTCAGGCACTGGGCACTAGAAATGTAAGAATGAACTAGACATTTTCTGCCTTCAGGGGTCTATGAACAAACAATTACAATACTCAGTGAAAAATATTACAATTCACACAGCTCAGTAATCCAAATCCTTATTATGTCTGTCTTTAAAAAGCAGAAAGTGAAAAATGCTCTTTAAAAGAGGATGGCACAGAAATGTATTTATGCATTGCAACAGATAAAATTAATAAATGCATGAGGACTGGTTCATCTGTCTGGTTGTGAGTTAGGAATAAATCCCACTCTCAATGAAGTATTCAGATTCCACCTTGCCCCACGGTCACCACAGTGGTACAATGGAAGCTCCAGTCCATTCATGCTGTCTTTGGGTACCTTCAGAGTGTTGTTTCACAAGTATTCAGACCCAACAGTAAGAGTTTAAAAATTGTCCATAAGGTTGACCTTGGCATTATTACGTTAAAGAAAACAAAACAGATATCGCTGAATTTACTTCTTAAAAATACCTTATGTTTCTGCAAGTTTCTTAAATTCTGACTCTTGTCACATAAGCATACAAGAATGGCTATACTTAAACCCTTCTAATCAATTATATCCATAATATATATGACTGAATGATAAGCTTTCATGACTATGAAATATATACATGTTTGGAGAATCTATTTACAATAGATAATCCTATTAATAGCTGTCATTGTAACACTGTTTATGCAGTAATTGTAGTTCCATCTGTTTTTATTTTTAGCATCTTTCCTCTCGATCCCCCAAGTTTTAAGTTGCTATCAAGTGTGTATTTTATTTGGTTTTGATGCCTTAGGTTATCTGTAGTTATAATAGCCATATCAATTATTCATTTAGCAAAAATTTATTGAGTGCTACTATGTGCTTATATTTTTCCAATGTTGTAAAGGATGATTGGCTAAAATTTTTCCACTTTTATTAGTAATTTGGGAGTTTCTTCTTTCGATGGATTTTAGTCACTGGTAAAGGCTGTCTCATACTCATAGGTTTTTCTCTACTAAGAAACATGATGTTGAATAAGGTATGAATTATAACTTAAGGCTTTTTCATATTCTCTGCCATTATACAATTTTTTTTCTTATGAAGACTATGTGTCCTCAAGAAATTTATAATCTAGCAGGTGAAAGATTTGCTTCTTTCAAAATGTGACTCTAATTCCCCCATTCCTTAGGTTGTGAAAGCAGTTGTTTATGCTTTATTTCATTGTTTTCCAAACTGTAGTTATTTATGTACTGTCCTCATGATTATGCTATTCACATACTACCTGTACTGTTATGCTTCTGAAAATATACCATGATTTTAAATTTAATTAAATTTGTTTAATAATAATAATATCTGTTAAATCACTAGGTTGATGTGCTGGTTACAAAATTTTAAATATACTTTAATGTAAATATGTTACTACTAAATTTTTTTTTTGTCTGTATGTATCCAAAATCTTGCCTTTAGTACTACACATAACTTTGGTGTACCCATGATAGCCACCTTCAAGAGTGAGAAATGGCATTTATGTGGCCAACAAACATATACAAAAAAGCTCACCATCACTGGTCATTAAAGAAATGCAAATCAAAACCACATTGAGATACCATCTCATGCCAGTTAGAATGGTGATCATTAAAAAATCAAGAGACAACAGATGCTGGGGAGGATGTGGAGAAATAAGAATGCTTTTATACTGTTGGTGGGAGTGTAAATTAATTCAACCATTGTGGAAGACAGTGTGGCGATTCCTCAAGGATCTAGAAATAGAAATACCATTTGACCCAGCAATCCCATTACTGGGTATATACCCAAAGGGTTATAAATTATTCTATTATAAAGAGACATGCACACCTATGTTTATTGCAGCATTGTTTACAATAGCAAAGACTTGGAACCAACCCAAATGCCCATCAGTGATAGACTGGATAAAGAAAATGTGCCACATACACACCATGAATACTACACAGCCATAAAAACGGATGAGTTCATGTCCTTTGCAGGAACATGGATAAAGCTGGAAATCATCATTCTCAGCAAACTGACATAAGAACAGAAAACCAAACACCACATGTTCTCACTCATAACAGGGTGTTGAACAATGAGAACTCATGGACACAGGGATGGGAACATCACACACAGTGGCCTGTTGGGGGGTAGGGAAGTTAGGGGAGGACTAGCAAGGGGTGAGGGAATTGGGGAGGGATAACATTAGGACAAATACCTACTGTAGATTACAGGGGGATGGATGTGGCAAACCACCATGGCACATGTATACCTATGTAACAAACCTGCATGTTCTGCACATATACCCCAGAATTAAAGTATAATAATAAAAAGTAAATAATTAAAGAAACAAAAAAGATTGAGTAATGGCAAAAGAAAATAAATGCAGCAATAATGATGGTGACCATAGCAATGGTAATGAGCTATTATTTATTGAGGACTTCACATATGTCATTTAACTTTATCTTATTTTATCTTCAAAACAACTTTCAGGCATGAATATCAGAGAAATACAAGGAAAAAGGACAGGAAAGAAGGAACAGTGGAAGTGAAACTATTTTGCCTAGGGCAGCTATAACTAACACAAATGTGATATTTTAGCATTTGTAATTTTTTTAAAGTCAGCTGAGATTTCACACCTGTTTATTTTATAAGAATTTGGATGTGATAGTGGAAGATTAACGTAATAATCTTTAGCAATTATTATAGAACAAATTATTTAAAAATTGTAAAATGCTTAGAAACAGCGTAGAATATCCTAGGTGTTTCCCATAATTAAATTATAAAATGATTGCTCTGATTATTTTTCATAGTAGTTCAATTAAACTGTGACTTTGGGTCTGTTAGTATATATGGGTGTGAATGCTCTAGAGGTTTGTTCCTTGGCTTTCCTGTATAAGTTCATATATATTTTTGTTATTACCCTGTAAATAACTGAATTATAGTATAGTGATTCTGTAAAAAACACTTTAGTTATTAATACTCTTTGGTGTGAAGTTAACATTAAACACTTTTATATTTCCAGAACCTGGTTTTTATCTGTGAAAGTCAATGTATCCTTCTTTTAATCTTCTGCATTTGTTTTTTTATAGCTTGATGAAATATGACATGCTTCTCCTTCCTCCCCCTCCTTCCTGTGCCTCTATCCCCACCATTTTTTTTTCTATTCCTCTTGGCATCTGGATTTCTTTTTCTGCCAAATGAGTCAGTTAAAGAGGAAATGTTTAACCCACATTTGTCATCTTGGCTGGGAAAAGAAGTTCGAAGGCAAAGGTGCCTGAATATGTTTCATTAGGATGCTGACACAACCTTTTTGACTCTCTCCTGAGAATACTACTGTATATTCAAGTTACAAAGTACTAAATGATCCATTTCCACCATGCATACATTTCACATGATTAATACTTTATAGCTTTTTTCTTTGAGGACAAATATTTTTCTTTTGGAAAAATATTATTTATTTATTTGTGTGTATGTATGTGTTTATTTTCTTTTAATATGTGGTCTTTTTCAACAAAGGATTTGATTTTACACGCGAAAGTAATAGGATTAAGAGGCTAAAGGAAAAATAGGAGAAAGGGAAATATGAGTACAGTGATAAAGTATAATGAATTGCTTGTATTCTAACACAGAATAGCTACTATCTGTTGATTGTTTATTATATATTAGCCATTTAATCAAAATATCTAGTCTAATGAAATAGTCACTGTTTTCAGTTTGTTTAGGTTTAGTAGATATAGAAACTGAGACTTAGAGAGGTTAATTTACTCAACTCCACATTGCTAATTAGTGGTGAAAGTGGAATTTGAATCCTCTGTTTTTTCTTATCCAGCATATCATCACTATAACCCTTATAGTTTGCTTTTGGTACAAGTATTCATATTAATGGAAATGCAAAGTATTACCTCAGCAAATGTACTAATAGCTTAGCTTCACTAAATTACTCAATTCTTTTTTTAACCATCTATACATGGGAAACAAAATAGGCTGGGGAATAGGCTGTACTGGTGGCGGCTGTGGTGCTGATGAAGGAAGTGGTGGTGGAATGCGTAGGTGCCCATGCTTTTTGTCACAATGAAGATCAAAAAGTACATCATTTAATAGCTGGGGGTTGTATTCTTCACCAAAAACTAAATAAACATATAGACTTAGCAATATGCTATAAAAGTGAAGATATAAGCAGTATAAAATTCTGCCATAAAGCAAGTTGTTCAAGATTGCAGTCCAACCTCTTCAAAATGCTCATAAATCAGAAGGCAAATTTATTAAACAATATTTTATATGTATACTATACTATTCAAATTGGACCTAAAATGAATTCACTTGCTATATTAAATATTAAACATTAAATGGGCAGCAACTTTGTTTGCACTGGACATAGACTATCAGAAGAAAATTTGGGACAAGCTGACGAGTCCAGGTCTCTTGAGAAACCCTTCAGCTTCTTTTCCTCCAAATGAATTTCTCCGTAGCAAATGGAAACCATCCAAATGATTCCCTACCTACCTCAAAGTACCATAATTTGTCTACTTTGCAAATTATGGGGCTATATCTAGCAATACTTCAAGAAAAATGCACCAACTCCCATTATGTCATAGGTACTGTGCTAGGAACTTTATGCATATCATTTTGTTTGATTTTAATAGCAACTGCATGAAATAAGTCATCATCATAAATCACCATTTTAGATATTGAGAAACCACAAACAGATTAGAGAAGTTAAATAATTTTCCCGTCAAAGACCACATCAATGATGAAGACAGAATTTGAACTTATGTTCTTAACCATTGGACTACCTGCATGCCCTGTCAAGGAACGGCTAAGGCTGTCATAGAGACTAGACTGTGTATAGACAGTTGTTTCAAGAGAGAAAAAAGGCAGGAGGATCTAGGGAATAGGTTTAAATCAGACATTGGCATCTGTACTAGAAATGAGCGGTGGAACTATTATTGTGTTCTATTTACTGAGTATAGGTATATCCTACTCAGTGTATTTCTCTGCTCCATACACTATTCAAGGTGATAAAAGCGTTTAGGAAGAGGGATTAGGAAATATCCGCTATGTTTAGGTCATAGCCCAATCAAAGGATTAATTAACATTTGTCTCTTTCTTTCTCCTACATCCAGCCTCCCTTTTGATGAGAAGAATAAGCCTCATTCTGATTCAACAGCAGAGATCAAAGAAAAGACTTCTGTTTGCTGGCCATCAGATACATGTTATCTGTGTTTAAAGAACTGAAAAACACACATCAAAGGAACATTCTCTTGGAAAGAGAGGTAATGAGATACAGTGAAAGAGAATAGAGATTCTTTAAATCATGGAGACCTAGGATCAAATCCTGTGATTAACACTTTTTAGTAATGTAACCTACTTCATTTCTTTGAGCCCTGGTTTATTTTTCTGAAAAATGAGGGTGATCTAAATTGCCTAAAATGCAACTCATGACAATAATAGACATGAAATAAATAGTCTTTCATCCCCCTCCTTTGCTCAAGCACTGCTCTGCTCTTCTCATCCCCTTTCCCTTCCTCTTTTCCCTCTATTTTGTCTGTACCCAATAGTTTTCCCCAAGCCCTATAACTATGTATGTGTATATTGTTGCAGCAAAGTGTATAAAGGAGACACCATTATTTGCATCCATTTATGTGCTGATATAAGTATTTTATCCTCAGAAGTTTCAGAGGGATGCTGGTGATTTGGTGAGAAGGAAGCAAGTATTTCTGTGATTTAATTTCAACGTAAGCATTGAAGAGGCTACCCTTCACCCTTTTACTACTGTTGATAACTCCATGTTTCCAAGAGCTAATGGGTTGAAGAACTTAGCACTTGTGATGGATTAGTCAAGCAAAAATTATGAAGTAAGTAATCTATAACATTATAGTATATTACAAATGCTGAAATATATTAATTATTATTTATTATGATTCTCATAGCTCATTTATACTGTACACAATTCCTTCCATCATTTTATGAAGATGTTTTACATATACATAATGAAACATAGCTAATTAGATACAAGGAACATAGAACTAAATGACTATTTTCCAAATATTTTCCCTCTAAGGAGGTTTTGCAATCCAGCTTTGCTGTGGTTAGACCCTGCGGATGAGAAAACATTCCCTTTTTTTTTTTTTTTTTTTTTTTAAAGACAGGGACTCATTCTGTTGCCCAGGCCGTAATGCAGTGGTACAATCATGGCTCACTGCAGCCTCAACCTCTTGGGCTATAGTCATCCTTCTACTTCAGCCTTCTGAGTAGCTGGGACTACTCGGTGTGCACCCCCATGCCCAGCTAATTTTTGTATTTTTTTGTAGAGATGGGTTTTCAGCATGTTGCCCAGGCTGATCTCAAACTCCTAGAATCAAGGGATCCACCCACCTCAGCCTCTCAAAGTGCTGAGATTACAGGCATGAGCCACTGCACCCAGCCTGAATGAGAAAACATTGAGTTGGAAACCCAAAACATGACATAAATAATTTGGTATATTTTAGAACTGTATTTCAACAACTTTTCAACACTGTCATCCTGTAAATGTCTTTCTGTCCTAATCCCATTGCCCTTGCACTCAGCAGAATTGTGTGGCTCTAAGGCAGATTCTGGTATGAAATATCTCAGCTGGGGAAGGCTCCGAAAGGGAGAGATCTGGCTAAAGAGCTCACACCAGACAAAGCTCCTCATCATACTGGCCTAACTCTCCTGATCCTGCATTTCTCAACAAAACTTTTTCTTCTCTTTCACATAACTCCCGTGGAATAATTTCCACCGAATTGCATGGAAGAGGCTGTTCATGGGGCTAGTCTGGCAGTTAAGAGATTTCTATTGGATTTTTTCATTTTGCAATCAGTTTCATACATTTACATGTATACTTTTCCTGGAGTCATAGTTTGTTCTCAGGTCTTTTAGAGTTAAATATCTTTCTTCTTTTAAGGTCTTACTTTTTTTTTTCTAGTTTTATGGGAGATAACCAGTTTCCAATCCACGTCAGGGGAAAAGTAGGACAAATGAATGAAAGTTGTAACCACCTTGGATGATGGAATAAGACATTTGGGAGAACACAGGAGAAGTAGGGAGGTTAGGGAGGGATGGCTCTGTGAAAATTTTGCATTACTCTTGCCTGAGGTCTATTCTTTATGTTGGTGGCTGTTTTGACAATAAGAAATATTTAATGGCAAACTTAGTCTTCTAATTTGAAAGTGGAAATCATAACAGTTCTTGTCTCATAGGGATAGTATGAGACGAATTAAATAATCCATGTAAGAGGCATAGTACTATGCTTGCCATTCTGTAGGAGCTCAACAAACATTCACTTTTTACCTGTTAGTATCAATCTTAATTCTAAAATTTTATTATTTAAATATTTTCCAATGGTGTTTCTAAATAATATCTAATGACTAAGTTAGTACACCATGTGGTTCTTCTAGGGTTCAAGCATTATTGTTAGGTGTGCTGGAATCTTTTCCCAAGTCAGTACTACTTTCTAGACCAAAACTAGGGAGACCTATTCGGAATGTATCTAACTCCAAAGAAAAAAACCATCAGAGGTAACAGGTGGGGGACATGTGAAACAACTTTTTAGATATGAATCCTAGTTGAATAAAAGTTGCCAAACAGCTCATTCCCACTATCTGAAGAAGAGTTTTAGTCTAAATGGAATGGCTGGAGAGTACAGGAAAAGTTCTTTCCCGCTCTGTCTAACCACAAGCCTCTGTGACATTTATCAAAGAAATACAGCCCTTTAAAGCTGAGTATAAGTCCCAAAGGTAATTTCCTTGTGAAGCTTCTTTTGTCCTCTGCTGTTAGAGCCCTTTCTGCACGCTGCTGCCTCTGTGTCACCCTCCAGGACATCTGCTCTTACACAAGGGGCCGCATAGGGACTGGCTCACGCACCAGCCAGGGCACATGGGCCAACTTTTAACAGCAAAGGAAAATGCTCAATCCTACAGTAGGGACAGAAGAGAAAAATAACATTCTTCAGAGAGCTATGATAGCTCTGAGTAAGATCAAGGACCCTAAAGTAAGACAGACCTGAGTCTGAATCTCAGTTCCAACACTAAATTTATTTATACACTTAAGGCATCACATATAGTATTGTTAGATAATAGATACTTTACAAGCTTGTAACTAAGAGGAGGCAAAATAATGTCTGTGAAGTGTTTCATAGATTGGCCAGCATATAGTAAACATTTAATCATTAGTAGCCATTATTATTTTTTCTTAAAATATTTTTTTCTGGCTTCTTAGCAATCCTAAAATTCAGTTTTGTGTAGACTCCATGGCTAGGACTTGCAGAAGAAAAAATTGTCTGAACAATTTAGACATTGCCTTTTTGTCCTCAAACCAAGGGATGAATTTTTATTCTAAAATATCCAGATTGTCCATATCACTTAATCAGTTAATTACTAAGTCTGTATTTCTCTCTTATGCAATTGGAAAACATTAAGAAGTTGAATGTATGTACTGTACACATACATGCATACACGTAGACTTAAGTACATTAATGTGTATATACCTTCTATAGCACTTAGCTCATCTGTTCTTTCTTATGATGTTTTCTATAATCATTTGAGGTAGGTTTTATATTATCCTATTTCATAATTAAAGGAAAAGAGAACACAGAAAAGCAGCCTGACTTGGCCAGAGGCCTTGCAAGTGTTAGGTAAAGAGTCAGGGAGTCCTGACCTCTTTTCAGTTTTTCTTCCTCTGTACTGCTGCGAGGACTGTGGAAGTGAAATACTTCTTTGGCTGCCAAAGAAGCCCCAGTTGAAAGGTAACCAAAGAAAGGAGTATTTGGGAGCAGCATGGCTGAAATCCAGTTAAAAGTTAAAATCCTGTTGGGCAATTTCTCCTTAATTGACAGCAGGAATTGCTGTCACTGCCCTGTGTAGCTACTTTCAAACGGTAGGGATGTTAGCAAGAGCTCCCGGTGAATGCTTCCTAGGGGAGCAGTGATTGCTTTGGCTAGCTTCTGTTGTAGCAGTTTTCTGGCGGTGAAAAGTACGACAATTGGAGGTGGTAATCATTTTCTAATAACCACCTCAGGCTTTTGGCACCTAATTATCTGGCACTGTCTAGGGAAGCTCCTTATGCTACGTCATGCTTCTTGTCAAGTCAATCTGCTTATCTAATTTTGCTGGGAAATCTGATATCACCCTTCAAATAGTTCACCTCAGTGGGATCCAGTGTGTGTCCTGCAAAGTGCTCAAGGAAGAGTCTGATCGGCTCTGACAAGCAAACAGCAGAAAGAAATTTTGGTAAAACGGCCACTGTTTTTGCAGCTTTTTCATTGTGGTTCCATGGTGTTTGAATTCAGAATGTTGAGTTAATGACACAAGGAAACACTTGGATGTTCATATTGTCTACTTGGTTTTTTTTGAAACCTCCCAAGGACTGGCTTCATCCTGTTTGAGAGTCCATTCAACTGTAATTTCCACTCCACTTCCTGTGCAGGCCTGCCTGTGGTTTGTGGGCTGTACATTTCATCTTGCTCCTTTAAGGGGCCCCCTGAACTGAAAATGAAAGAGACTTTTTGTTGCTTCTGCTACCTGCTTATCGTCCATCCCAATCTCAGGTTTTTTTTTTTTTTCTCTCTCTCTCTCTCTTTTTTTTTTTTTTTAATTTTTTTTTTCTTTTGAGAGGGAGTTTTGCTCTTATTACCCAGGCTGGAGTGCAATGGCACGATCTCGGCTCACCGCAACCTCCGCCTCCTGGGTTCAGGCAATTCTCCTGCCTCAGCCTCCTGAGTAGCTGGGATTACAGGCACGCGCCACCATGCCCAGCTAATTTTTTGTATTTTTAGTAGAGACGGGGTTTCACTATGTTGACCAGGATGGTCTCGATCCCTTGACCTCGTGATCCACCCTCCTTGGCCTCCCAGAGTCTGGGATTACAGGCTTGAGCCACCGCGCCTGGCCTCTTTGTCTCTTTTTTAAACCTGAGTAGTACTTTTCCAACTTGTGCGTAGCTTTTTCTTTCAGTTCTCTGCTCTTCACAGTAATTAAACAAGAGTTAGTCTCCTTTTCTAAACCTTGTTTTTGTAATACCTTTATTCCTAAACAGTTATGCTTATAAGATTAACATAAATATGTTAAACTTGGTATTGATTTGATGATTTCGTAAACCCCAGACTCGTTGAAAGTTTGCAGGTTTTTGTAAAAGGACTTGCCTAAAATCTTTGCTTATCTACCTGAATTTGCTTCCAAAGGCAGTTATATAAAATATTTCTTAAGATAATTCTCTAAATTTGCAACTTGGCAGCATCTCACTGGGACTCTGGAAGGTTGATAAATCATGGAGAGTAGGTCTTCATGTAGGGAAGTATGAAAGCTCTGTGTGATAAAAACTACTTAAGAAGGCCAGGCGCGGTGGCTCAAGCCTGTAATCCCAGCACTTTGGGAGGCCGAGGCAGGTGGATTATGAGGTCAAGAGATCGAGACCATCCTGGTCAACATAGTGAAACCCCGTCTCTACTAAAAATACAAAAAATCAGCTGGGCATGGTGGCGCGTGCCTGTAATCCCAGCTACTCAGGAGGCTGAGGCAGGAGAATTGCCTGAACCCAGGAGGCGGAGGTTGTGGTGAGCCGAGATCGCACCATTGCACTCCAGCCTGGGTAACAAGAGCAAAACTCCATCTCAAAAAAACAAAAACAAACAAACAAACAAACAAAAAAACTACTTAAGAAGGCCCTAAATTTCACAAGAAGTTGGAGATTTTTGTGGAGACTCATAAAATGCATCCTTTATATTAGTGAAGTTTTTGCTTCTAGGTATATTATACTCACATCGAACATTACAGAGATTTTGTTTCGGCCTGCATATACCATGTATATTTGTTATGTGGATAGATAACTTAGACATGTACATT